TAGCTGTTATGACTCAGTACAACAAGCTCATCCTGGGAACTGGGTAAGTGTTCTCTTTACAGGAAGTGGGAGTTGGAACTGAAAATGGCAATGTATTAGCAGTGCTGTTGGTATCTGCAAGGCAAGGAAACTTGCTGAAAGAGGTTGTGTAGGCAATCCCATCAATGATCTTGGAGCATGGACCTATGAGCAACTTGCCACGGGATAAAAGGAGGGACACTTGCCAAGCATCACAGTGGCGGGCACTTATTTTGGCTGGAGGGCTGCTTAATGAGGTTTGGCAAGCTTTTGAGGGCCACATGGGTAGCCTCGCCCTTAGACAGTTGCCCTGCCCCTGGGTCTCTGTCTTGGGACTGGAAGTCCAGCCCCCTGACCTTTACCACTAGAAATCCCTCCCCTTGCCCCCCCAGAAATAGTCCTTTTGGGGGGGACTTGCCCTCTTAAAAGCATTAAAAAAACCCTCAAATTGTATGCTATAGTAGGTGTTTTGACTTTTAGTGTATTTTAATTTTATTACAAAAAATATTTTTGTCATGATTTGTGTTTGCATAGTGTGTATATATAGAGGTGATTACTTAATAACTAAAAAATAAATTCTTAGTCTTGTATATTGTGTGGGGGTGTGTGGTTGGGGAGGGTGTGTGTATGGGGGAGCTTGTGCGGGGGTGTGGCTGTGTTGGGGGGGTTTAGGGGGTTGTGTGGGCAGGGTGTAAGTGGTGTGATGTTTTGGGGGGGGGGACTCCCTGACAGGCGCTGCCAGCCTCGGCTCCATGCTCCCGCTCAGCTACAGCTCCCCCCTGCCACTTCCCTACTTGCTGCCTGGAGTGAGCAGGATACCAGGGAAGCTGAGCAGGTCCCCCAGTGGCGGCAGCAGCAGCAGCCCTGTCTGGAAGCTGCTGCTTTCTGGGCCAGGCCCTTCCACCTGCAAGGGTAGGAGCAGGGTGCAGTAGGGTATGTTGGCGGTGTGGATGCATGAAGAAATGGCCCTTTTCATCTGCCTCCCTGCTCTGAGTCTGCCCAGCCCTGTCTGTTTCAAACGCTGGCTGCTGGATCCCCTTGGTCAAGCTGGGTGACTGGGTTGTGAAATTTCCATAGGGAGGGGGGAGCTCGTTCTTCCTTTGTCCTGAGCTTTTCCTGAAAACAACCTGTGACCCTGGTCTCTACCTGAGGATGCTGATGACTTTTAAAAGAATTGGTCTGCATCCAATACTGCCTGTTTCTGGCTGGGACTTAGTGATGAGGTCACAAAAGTTTTATAAGGGGTCACTCCATTTTGGAGGGGGAAGTCAGTTTTGAAACCCTGAAACTAGCAACAAGCCTCCAGAGCTCCATCGGTCTTTGGATGAACATGAGAGTAATTTACCTGAAATTTAGCCATTAATTTAGGATTAAGTGAACTGGACATGTATCAAAAGGGCCAACAAGCCCATTCTGTTTTACTAAAGTAGGTTTTCTTTCAAGTTTCCATTGTTTTGTATTCCTTCCTTACTCTCTCCCTCTTTAATCAATAAAGCTATTTGTTATAGCACCCCTTTCTGGAAATGCTTATGAGGATGAGACTAGACTTTAAAGCCCCTTTGCCTGGCTGGCTAAGGTTGGCGTGACTTTCCTTCCATACTCTGCCACAAGCATGCTTGTGAATGCTTCAGGTTAAAAGAAGCACCCCAAAATACCATGGTGGGCTAAGCACCCCCAAGGTCAATAGGCTCTGTGTACCCTGGGCTGCAGAGAGCCCTAACAAAGACCAGGGCCCAGGTGGTGTCAGCCCCAGACTTTTCGGGTGTGCTCCAGGAAGGGGGTCGGCCAGACATAGGTGCCCCAGGGGAGATGCCAAAAGCGGGGTTTTGGTTGGGCACAGTCAGGCGGGTGGCTCAGCATAGTAGTGCCCCCACTGTCCCCCCACTGTATGTGAGCACCTTGCTCCCACCCTCATGGATGGAAGGGCTGGGTGGAGTACAATTAGTGGGCGTTGTGGGCCAGATGAAAGTGTTTGGCAGGCTGGATCTGGACCATGGGCCGTATTTTGCCCAGCTCTTGGATATCAGCTATTTTGTGGTATCTGTTATGCATACTCATCTACCCCATGGTCAGTGGAAACTTACTCAGGGAAATTACCCCTCTTTCACTGAGCATTAGGCTGCCACAGTTTAGCTATCATTTACCAGCAGAGGCAACCGGAGCTGGGTGTGGGGCCTGGGGCAAATCAGCCCGTGCAGAGCCCTGCCCCCACTCCGATCCTGGACCTGAAGAAGCTACTGTTGCTGTTGGTGGCGGGGGAGGTAGTGAGTGGCTGGATGCAGAGCTGCTGCTCCACCCAGCTCCATGCTGCTGCTGTTCTGCACCGCTCTGCGGGGCCCCCAAAGGGCAGGGCCCCGGGCGGTTGCCTCAATTTGCCCCTGTTTATCAGGAGTTTGTCCAGAAAGTTACAGTAGAGCAGCTAATGCATAGTAAAAACCCATGCCCTTTTAGACTACGCTAAGGTTTATTTTTTTTGTATGTCCACATTCTGAACTCACATTGCAAAAATAAAGTCACAACTGGCTTTTTTGCTGCGGGCCAGACTGACTGCACTGCTCTCTCACGCCAGCAAATGGTACGGTTAGGTCAGGGTTGAGACGACCAATATTGAAAGTTTTGCTATCCAGGCTACTAATAAATGCATAGATTATTATTTTTATTGCAAAGTTGTTTGTGCCACTTAAAGAGAGAAAATGTGTTCCTGAACCCCAAAGCTAAGTTATTCTACCAACCCCTTCAATGCAGGTGTTATGGTTCAAATCCAGCCTGGATAGGAAATGTGGTGAGAGGGTTTCTCCTGCCTGATTGGCTCAGTGGCCTGTGTGCATTAAGTTTGGTCTCAGTCTAAATTCTTGAGAGTTGATGCACCTTCTTCCACAGAGTATTACTGTACTTAACACACATTGTTCAGTGCACAGGGACCATCCATGGAACAACCAGGGATGTGGCTGCAGGAGGTTGGGGATTAGACATGTTGGCCATGGAAGTGTAGGGGTGGATGGTTCTCCTCAATATCCTTGTTTGATGGAGATTTCAGTCCCTGGGGTTGTTAAACAAGCACTAAATTCACATGCTATTTAAACAAGAAATACAAGCAACAATCATGAATTAACTCTGCCACCAACATGCTTAAGCTTTTACTTTTATGATGCATGTTTTACTGGAAAGATTTACTGTGCTATAAAATGAAACTACTGCTCTTTTAAAATATGTCTTGTTGGTTGACAGTGATCATGAAATTCAGTTTTATGAACTCTCTAACTTTGAACCATACTGCCAGATCAGTAGCTTGGAAGCTATCCCTTTACGACTGGACTATTGGTAAGCAATGCTACATTTGTGTCATTTGTTCTATCTTAACATTATTTTGTTGCACACTTCTATTTAAATAGTGTTTCATTGGTGACATTTGTCTGGTCCTTACAACATCTCCCAATGTTCAGTTTGGCATTCACGTAGTATCGTGATGTTTCTTCACCAACTTCCTGTCAGATGTACAATATTTCATCATCAAATGTATAATTTTATCCCTTGTTAGGCTTAGCTTGGCATGTGCTAAATTACACTACACCAATGTGTCCCTGCCATAACAGGAGTGAATGTGACTCTTTGTAACATCTATTTTGAGCAGCTGCCACCAACGTGTTGGATGCTTGTAAGCAAGCTGTCTAGCTCGCTGGCTTCTGCAGACAGGTTATTCTCCTTGGGGAGCCTCCTCAGCCAGTCCTCCTCAATTAAGCACAGCCTTTAAGTACCAGACAAGCAAACACAAAAAACAAACCTTTCTGCCCTGTCAGTAAGAGCAATAGGGTGGGAGCCCTCTGGCCCCAGCACAGCACCCTGCTTCCTCTTTGCCACAAGCTATTTGCTTCCTTTCAGGTTTTGTCCCGCGGTTTTAAATATGGTGCTGTTTTTGCCTCCTGGCCAGTCAGCAACAAATGGCACAGCTACCAGCCCCCCTCAGCCAATTAGTGGCAAGCAGAAGTAGCAGTGTCCTATTTAAAAATCTGGTTTTTGTTTCCCTGTTGAGCAAAAGCAAGTGGCAAGCAGTGGGGCCCCTCTAGCAATCCATGGTGGGGGGGGGCGCACCAGGGAACCTGCAAAATTAAAGGAGCTGCCATGAATTTGGTAGGTCCCTAATTTTTAGAGAGAGGTTACACCCACACTGAACATGTAGGGAAGGATTTTGGCTAGTCTAGTCTGTTGTAGCTCTATCTCTGTAATGTACGGGTGTTGCCAGTACATGTTAAGTGAGGTGACTGACCAACTGTTCCATGTTTCATTCTCTCACTTATCAAAGAGCCTCTTCAGTATAAACACACAGCAGCACATACGCTCTATTTTACATCAAATAAATGTCCCTTGTGCTTAGGGAGGAAGCTGAGCAGGTTTGTTGGGCTCCTTGATTGCTGTGGGAGTTCATTCTGCAGTCCCACACTGGCCCCTAAGAAAATTTCACCCTTGTGACAAACAGCTCCACTGTGCCTGAGGACTGGTAGTGTCAAACACTGATTTCCCAAAGCATTAGGCAACATTTTAGGCCCCTTAGACACAAAGCACTGAGTTCATCTTGCAAAATGAAACAAGCCTTCCTCCATTACTTTCTACGCCAGCGAGGGCAGGGATCTTCCTGATATAAGCAGATGGCCCTCAGAAGAGCAATACCACCTTCCACCAGGCCAGGATTTGGTCTTTGCAAAACATCAGTAAATACAACACTCCCTTTGCCTTATCTATTACATCCAACTCTGTTTGTTTATCCTGAACTGAAATGTCATGACTACATTTTCATTTATTACCTTTATCTTTTTACTTGTTTTAGTTACACTGATACTGATGAGTGCATGATTCTCTATGGGGATGATCAGGTAAATGTTTCAAAAGGATTTTTGGAACAGACAACCCCCCCGCCCAAAACATCAACCCTCAACACTGACAACCTGAAGGGCTCAGGATTCCTCTCAAGTCTTTGGTTACTTGTAGAGCCATCTAGCAGTGTCTCTTGGCAAGCCAGTCAGTTCCATGGGATACTTAATGCATAGAGAAGATCAGTAAAAAGAAACTGCAAAGAAGCAGAATTCCCTGTGCCATGGCTGGGAAGTGATTTTGGGAGGAGACTGTTTCAGATGAATCCTTTCAATCCCTGACCCCCAGTGTCTGGTTAAAGTTGGTATTGGGGTCAGATAATGCAGTGGTGGCCCAGGAGGTTCCTTGAGTTGTATGTCCCAACCTTTTGGAAGGAGGGTGTGGAGGTTTGAATAATGAAGTTCACCCACTAACATACTAGTTTCCAAGACTTCTGTCCTTGGGGTTGCTACTAAGGGCCCAGTTCTGCAGTGTGCCGAGTATCCTTTCAATTTCCAGTTGAATTCAATGGCTGGCACTAAACTGAGGATGTCCAGAACCCCCTCGGCTCAGGCCTTTCAGAGCTTTTATTTTTCTGAAGCTGCTGATTTTCCCAGGCTTACCGTACCACTTATGAATATGAGATTCTGCCTCTCTGAATGCAAAAAAAAATGGCATTTGGAAGTTAGCAATTTTTGGGTACTTTATTGCTTTTATCAGTCCTCTGATCCTGCAGATTGCTGTGCAGCTTCTGGATGGTGTTCAGTTGCCTTCAACTTTTACTGACTTTAAGAGGGTCAGGCCTTTTGATCAATGTCTGTGGTGTTAATTATCTGTTTGCTAACCATCAACATATCTACAGATGTCTAACACCTTTATTTGAGGAAATCTCCCACTGACATCAGTGATGGTTTAAGATCTTGGCCCTATATTTTTCAGTTTCTGATGCAAGTTTTGCTGTTTCTTCAGGGTTGTGTCAATATTTTGCTCATGTCTTCTGTGGGAGAGCTCCTGAGGTAAGTACTTGTGTGTTAAATGTAATGTAAAAAAACAGGTTTAAAGTGCAAATCTTTAGTTGTCTTAAATGAACACTGAGTTTCTTTGCTCATGTCCTACTTTACTGCTAACTGTACTACAGCATTCTCTCTTGTGCGTGCAGCGGTGGTCTCCGGGATGCAGCAGCAGTCGCAGGATGCATGTGTTCCCAGAATTCACAGGACCGCTACAGTTGGACATGGAACAATTTCAAGAAGTGCAAGCCCGTTCCACATCCTGTCAGATAATTTCATAATTGGGCCAGCAGATGGCACATGTTGCCTTCTTAATAAATCCCCATTGTAGTGTATTGGCCAAATTATGTACTTGCCTACAGTCGATTTATTCACCACAGAAACCCCCTGATGCTAATTGTTGGGTTTCAGAACGGTGGGCTTCTGACAGGTCTCATGAACTGTTTTTCCCCAAAGCGTTGCTCCCATCATTTACAACACACTGTAAAGCAGGGGTGGGCCCCTGGGGGGATTTGACAAGCTGAAAAGAACAAGAGGAAAGAATGAAAAAGCAGAGGATGGCAAAAAGTATGATATAAAAGGAAGACGCTTTTACTATGGAGCTAATTGGTCTGCTCCACAGCAAAGAGCACGTGTAGGTGCATCCAGTGTGGTTGTAATGGCATAAAACGTGTGTGTTTATAACGTGGAATTTCAGGGGGTCACAGCTGCGTAACAAATGTAAGAAGAGTTATGTGACCCACCTTACTCCACCCAGGAGGAAGAGGATGATGGGTAGTGCAGGAGAGGACAACTTTGTGCCGTGGCCAGTGTCAGCAATAAAGCTTTGGCTACCCTTGTAGCTGTGAGAAGAAAGCTGCAGCATTTTCTATTCGGGGGAGCTTGCACACACTAACAATATCTGACAAAGACAACTTTTGTTTACAAAGGTTTTTGCCTCTTTGAACCAGTTTTTTTTGGTGCCATCCTGCCCTACCTTGTGCTCATCAACAGTAGTTCTAACAAGCAACTCCTGTCCTTGCAGTGGCAGGACATTGACCTCACCTTCATCTCTGCTTTACCTGTAGCAAGTTAGAGTGTTTTTGATGTTTTGGGCATTATCCCTGCATGAGGGTTGTTCTTGAAAACCCTCAAGAACAGAAATTCCTGGGGCAGCTGTCTATGTGCTGAAGTGCAAGATAAATTGCTATGCTCTTATAAATAACCTCAGGCTGTGAGGAAGAGTCAAGGTTTCTAAGTGAGCTATAGCTCTCAAAAGCTTGGGTTATATACAATATAGCCCAAGCTTCTGTGAGGAATTTATACGGTAGTCCATCCCGTATGGACTAAATGTGTGTCTGTGTGATGTATAATGCATATAATGTTTATAATCTAAATAATATTGTGTGACGTATTTGCTATAATATAATACACATACATACTTTGGTTGGTTTATAGCATGCAAGTCTACCCTGCCTTCTATGTGCAGGGGCAAACAGACCAAAGAAGAAGTTTGCTTCTTAACACTTAAGGATGCTTGTTGCCTTCTCTCTTCTAATCTTTCTGCCTTCACTTTTTTTTTTTTCAGAACATGGAAAAAACTACCAAAAGACAAAAGCCTGCCTAATATTGGCCTGGAGAGTGCTGTTTGTTCTCTAAATGTCACTTACATTCGTTGGAAAGTGCATGGCGATTGGGTTACACAGGTAGTAATAATAACAGCCTTTCTTCCTGATTCCAAATGCTAAAAACCAGTAACACAGGAAACTTTTTTCCACAAATGAAATCTCCATGGTAATAGTAAGGTTTCAGTTGCATGTCTGGTCTGTGTGCAGGAGGAAACTTTTCATTAAAATAACACAGCTGGCGTAAAGGCAGGAAGAACTGCAGAACAGCCCAAATTGTCAAACCTGATGCAAGGAGGGGAGAGAATTTGACATCAGAAAACAAGGAATGAAATTCAGACCAAGAGGGTGTTGTGAACCCTGAGTCAAGAACTTCTTAGCTCTTACTTTGGCCCCAGTGGCACCTGCTTTTAAAATGCAGCATGAACATCAGCCCATCGGGCTGAATTGCTGGACTGTGGCATTAGTGAGGAGATCTGAGTGGAGGATTACAGCCTGTTCAGGATCCAAAATCAGGAGCTATCAAAGAATGGGCATGGAACTGAAGAAACATGCTAAACCTTTCGCAGCCCTAAACTTCAAACCTGTCCATGTGCCAGGGCTGAATGCTGCCCTTCCTGGACCTTTTCCCCAGAGTTATTTTGGGTGTGAGAAATAAATATTTGACAGGTTCCTGAGGCTGCTCTGAGTTCAGAAATGTAACGGTAGTCCCAGTGGTGATGGGCTAATGAGATATTCAGATGCGTGCTGACTGGCTGAGCGGAAGAAACGAAGAGCATTTCTATAGTGCCAGAGGGTTTGTTTGTTTTATTTTGTTTTAAACTTGTGGCCCCTAATCTAGAAAGAATTTCTTGTGACAGAAGCCAAAATAGTAGTCCCATGTCACAGCTCAAGCAGCTGAGGAATATATCTAGTGTTAAGGAAATAAAGGATTTCTCCCCAAAGGAAGCAAAGGGCAGCAAGTCTGGTTTGCTATTGGTATCAAAGCCTCGCAGCTGGTGAAGCCTCTGCCCAACTGACCTGCTTTCTCTAGGTGGCAGCTGGTGTGTGTTGGGGGAGGGGGGAAGAAATTGCTGGTAAAGCCTCTGGCCTGGCCTTGCCCACATTTCCCTGCTGTGCCACATATTTGGGTCATTGTGGCTTACAAATGCAGCCCACATGGGTCAGCAGCAAGAGGGACTCTTTGGTCTTGAAGGAAAGGTCAAAAATTGCCTGGTGTGGACTGAAGAATTTTGCTTCACATTCTTGAAGGCTGATAGCTGGTCTAACGGGCACAGACACAGCGCACGAGAGGTGCTGATGATCTTTGCCTTTCTTGCTGATTTCCAGAGAGCAGAATCAATAGGAGAACCCCTACAAGGCAGGGCATAGCTCAGAGGGAAGGGCAGATAGTGCTGAACATGGAAGACAATTTAGGGAGCATCCAGGTTCATCTGTGCTGATTGCTGTTAAGGTAATTGAGTTGGCACCATACGCTACTATGGGCTGTGGAGATGTACCCTCAGATTAGCACAGAAAGTCCTAAATGACTAAGAATCTGTCATGCCTTTGGATGCAGAAAGGAGCAGTTTAAGACTGTTTTGTCACTTTACATAAGGGAACAGTAGGAACATTAACCACTGTAATGCACCCACTCAATCCACCCTCGCACAATTTAAAATGTTGTTGTGCATTAACGTATGCTTCCTCCCTTCAGAAGCAAAACCCCTTGAACAATGGAAACAAACAAAGTAACTCCAGTATCCTACACCCTCCTCTAATCAGTGTTTTGTATTATTTGTATTTAATGTTATTCTTGTTCTGCTCTTTTTAGCTAAACTACTGTGATTCCATGAAAGCAGTGATTTCTACCTCTAGCCATGAGTCTACAGCTTTAGTAATAGGTAACAATTTCACTTCTATAACTTTCTCCAGGAAGTTCCTCCAGCATAAATTTGTATGATTTAAACACAACTTTTCTAACCTTGCTGTTTTCCCTTTAGTGTAATGACCTGGTCACGTCACTGCCAGCCGGCTAGTTCTATCTCTAGTAATAACTGTGTGTGTGAACTTTTCAACTAGGCTAGGAACAGACATTACACATAAACTGATTTAAACCTGTAATAGAAAAGATGTTCAGTGCACATAAACCAGTTTGAAAATGGCTGAAACCGGCTTGAGATGATAAACCCTGGTTGAATGTAATATCAGACTTAACTGATTTGGCTCAAACTGGTTTATTCAATGTCTGTCCCAGACCCCTTGCTGGTTTAAGTTAAATCAGAGTCCCCCAATATCCTGGCATGCTCTCTGGGCAGGGCTCTCTGCTCCACAGCAGGGCTACTCCTCCTCTCTGCTCCCTGGATGGAGCTTGGCACAGACTTGCAGGCACAGCAGGGTCTAATGGTTTCCCTGTGCCCCCCTCTTTTTCCCCCCGCCCTCGCTACTTAAGCAGAGATCCCTTCCTTCCTCCTTTCTGCCACAGCAGGGACCATAGCCAGCTTGTAGTATGCTAGCTAATGCCGAGAGGTGTCTGTATGTATCTTTCTCTCCAATTTCACTGGGATAGCCAGACAGAGCAGTGACCGCTTAGGGCTTTTGGAGCCAATCAACAGGTCAGCTGGTAAGCTGTTTAAAAAGTCTGAAGTAATGTGGAGAGAGGCTATTGATTTGCTAATTTCATAGATTTAATTTCATAGATTTCATAGACATTAGGGCTGGAAGGGACCTTGGAAGATCATTGAGTCCAGCCCCACGCCCAAAGGGCAGGAAGTCAGCTGGGGTCATAGGATCCCAGCAACATAAGCATCCAATTTGCTCTTGAAGGTGTTCAGTGTAGGTGCTTGAACCACCTCT